CAAAAGCATGTAAAAATATAAAACTCACTGGTAACAGCAAATATGTAGACAAATACAGAATACTGTACACTATTGTAATGGGAGTATGTGAATCACTTTTAACTCTAGTATAAAAGTTAAAAGACAAAAGTATTGCTAATACCTATAACTATAAAAATTTGCTAAGAAATACACAATATGAAAGATGCAAATTGTGGTATCAATAACATAAAATGAAGAGCGAGGAGAGTAAGATTAAAGTTTTTGTATGTGATTAAAGCTAAGTTGTTATCAGATTGAAATAGACTGTTGTAAGATGTTTTATGTAAGCCTCATAGCAACCACAAAGAAATTACCTATAGTAGATACATACACAAAAAAAGAAAAAAAAAAAAAGCGAAACATATCATCATATCACAAAAGAAGACAGCCAGGAAGAAAGAGAGGGGGAAAAAATAAAATAAAATAAAATAAAATAAAATAGAAATAGTATTTACCTATCAATAATTATTTTAAATGTAAATAGACTGAACTTCCCAGTCAAAAGATTGAAAGTGGTTGAATGGTCTAAAAGAAATGGATTCAAGATTCAACTGTGTGCTGTCTAGAAATGACTAACTTTAGATTTAAGGACACATAGCCTAAAAGTGAAGGAATGAAAAAGATATTCCATGTGAATGGTGACAAAAAGAGAACAGGGGTGGCTGTACTTATAACAGACAAAATATACTTTAAGTCAAAAACAGTCACAAGAATCAAAGAAGGTCACTACATAATGATAAAGTGTCCATTCATCAGGAAGATATAACAAATACAAATATATACACATCAAAGCACCTAAATATATAAAGCAAACATTAATACATCTGAAGAGAGAAGTTGACAGCAAAACAATAATAGTAAAAGACTTCAACACTCCACTTATGGTAATAAGTAGAACATCCAGGCAAATCAATAAGGAAACAGCAGGCTTAAACAATACTATGGACCGAATGGACCTAATAGACATGTCCAGAACATTTCACCCAATAGTAGCAGAATATACACTCTCCTCAAGCTCAAACAGAACATTCTCAGAATAGATTACATGTTAGATCACAAAAACAAGTCTTAACAAATTTAAGCAGATTAAAATCATACCAAGTATCTTTTTAGACCACAATGGAATGAAACTAGAAATCCATAACAGGAAGAAATCAGGAAAATTCACAAATATGTAGAAATTAAACAACACACTTTTCAATAACCATTGGGTCAAAGAAGGAATCAAAAGGGAAATTAGAAAATATCTCAAGACAAATGAAAATTAAAACAAAACATTCCAAAACTTATGGAATGCAGCAAAAGCAGTTCTAATGGGGAGGTTTATAGCAATAAATGCCTACATTAAAAAAGAAAATTCGCACATCTACAACCTAACTTTAGACATCAAGGAACTAGACTAAATTAAGCCCAAAGTGAGCAGAAGAAATCAAATAATAATGATTAGAGGAAAAATAAATGAAACAGAGAACAGAAAAATAATAGAAAATCATCAATGAAACTAAGATGGGTTTTTTAAAAGATAAACAAAATTGACAAACTTTTAGCTAGAGTAAAGGAGAAAAGATGCAAATATATAAAATCACAAATAACAAATAATACATTGCAACTAATGCCACAGAAATAAAAAGGATCATAAGAGATTACTGTATACAATTATATGCCAGCACTTTAGATACCCTAGATGAAATGCATAAACTCCTAGAAACATACAACCTACTAAGATTGAATCATGAAGAAATAGAAAACCTAAGCAGACCAATAACTAGTTAAGAAGATTGAATCAATAATCAAAAAGAAAATTTTTTTGATAGATAAATCCAAAAGAATCCAAAAAATTTGATAATTCCAAAAGAAAAACCCAGGACCAGATGGCTTCACTGGTGAATTCTACCAAATATTTAAAGAATAATTAGCACTACTTCTCCTTAAACTCCTCCCAAAAAAATTAAAAAAGAAAATACTTCCAAACTCATTTTATGGGGCCAGAATTACCTCAATAACAAAGCTAGACAAAGAGAGTACAAGGAATAATAATAATATAAAAAATCTAAAGGCCTTGTATTGTTATGTTTATCACTGATGACCATAGATGCAAAAACCTTCAACAAAATACCAGCAAATTGAATTCAATAGCACATTAAAGGGATTATATATCATGACCAAGTGAGATTTATCCCTGAGACTCAAGGATGGTTCAACACATGCAAATCAATAAATGTGATGCACCACACTAACAGAAAGTAGGATAAAAATTACATGATCATCTCAATAGATATAGAAAAGGCATTTGAAAAAATTTAACCCCCTTTCACAACAAAACATCTCAACAAACTAGGTATAGGAGAAATTTGTCACAACATAATAAAGGCCACATATGAAAAGCCCATAGCTAACATTATGTTCAATGGTGAAAAATTAAAAGCTTTTCCTCTAAGATTAAGAACACAGCAATGATCTCCACTGTTACCACTTCTATTAAACATATTACCTAGCCAGAAGTTCTAGCCAGAGAAATTAGGCAAGAAAAAGAAATAAAGTATCCAAATTGAAAAGGAAAAAGCAAAATTATCTGTTTACAGAAGACATGATATAACATGTAAAGAACCCCCACACACAAAAATAGACATATAGACCAATGGAGCAGAATAGGAAGCCCAGAAATAAATCCACACATAAACAGTCAACTGATCTCTGACAAGGGTGCCGAGAATACACAATAGGGAAAAGATAGTCTCTTCAACAAATGGTATTGGGAAAACTGGATATTCACTGTGGGGCGCGGTGGCAACGCCATTCCTAGATTGGCGCCCGCTTCCTGGTCACACCCTACTGTGCGCCTGACAAACAGATGTTCAGCGCATTTGCAAAGCCTTGCCTCCTCTCCTGAACTGTGTCGACCAATCAGGTTATGCCCCGTGTACTTAACTGTCTATATAAGCAGCTGCCGAGAACTCCTCGGCGTCTTCCGCATGTAACCAGTTAAGCAATCCCCATTAAAGCGCTGTCAGAAGAACTCCAGTTGCCGCGTCTTCCTTGCTGGCGAGGCGGGCGCGACAAGTGGTGCCGAAACCCGGGAACCGAAACAACTTTGAAGCACCAGCGGAGATGACCTCGATAGAGGTGAGTTCAGAACTGACGCATGGGACGGAACCGAATTCGGACCTTTGCTGACCAAGGTAGACTGTTATTGAGAGCCCGTGAGCCCCCTGCTTTACAGGCAGGGCAAAAGGTGCTCTCTGACCATCAAGACAGTACTTCAGAGTCAGACAAAGGGAGAAGGCCTAGAAGAAGAAAAGGGAGAGAAAGAAGAAAAGGGAGAGAAAGAAGAAAAGGGAGAGAAAGAAGAAAAGGGAGAGAAAGAAGAAAAGGGAGAGAAAGAAATGTAAAGGTACCAAGAATAAAAGTAACAAAGGAAAGGACAGGACAGAAGACAGGGGAGAAAGCCTTTTTCTGTCAGAATTTAAGAAATTAGATATTTCTGAGGATGATTCCTCTTCTTCCTCTTCTCTTACTTCCTCAAGTTCAGGGGAGGAGGCGGGGGAGGTATTTGGGGATCTGGAGACGGCAATGCCCCTGATAGAGCAACTAGCATTTGAGCAGTGCACTACGGAATGCCGTAATGCAATTGCTCCCTGGAAGAACAAAGGCCTTAATGCGTGGCTGAAGGCCTGCAGGGAGATAGGAGGCCCCCTGACCAACAGTGGGTTAGCAGCTGCTGTGCTAGCCGCTCAAAAGGGCAAGGATATGACCTGCTACAATTGTGAAAAACCCGGTCACCTTAAGAGGCAGTGCAGATTGCCCAAGCAGGAGCGCCCTCAGCCTAAGGTGCCGGGGATATGCCCTACTTGTCAAAAAGGAAGACATTGGGCCAGTGAGTGTAGATCCACCAAGGATATTAAAGGAAGACCAATCAACCGTTCGCCAAAAGAACATGACCAACAAAAAAACGGGAACCGGGGCCCTCGACCTCAGGGCCCTCAAATATATGGGGTCCTGCAGAGCACTCCGGTGCCATCACTGGCACCTCCGGGGAGCCGAGGAGAGCCACTAAAGGTTCCGCAGGACTGGACCTCTGTGCCACCACCACAACAGTGTTAACTCCTCTCATGGGGTGCCAACCGGTCCCATCTGATTTCAAGGGGCCGTTGCCTGAACATACTGTAGGACTTGTCCTTGGGAGGTCCTCCTCAACTTTGCAGGGACTGATAGTTCACCCAGGGGTTATTGATTCAGATTTTGAGGGACAAGTGAAGATTCTTTGCTCTTCAACTAGAGGCATAGTTCCCATATATCCAGGAGACCGGATAGCACAGTTGCTAATTTTACCTAGCCTCCATTCTTTATTCCCTAGTAAACAAGAAACTAGAGGAGAAAAAGGTTTTGGTTCCTCTGGAGGAAACTGTGCGTATTTGTCATTGAATTTAGATGAACGCCCTACTATGGACTTAACCATACAGGGAAAGACATTTACGGGCCTCCTGGATACAGGAGCTGACACTAGTATAATTTCTGAACGCTGGTGGCCAAAAACGTGGCCATTGGCCCCGTCGGCTCAAACTTTGCAGGGATTGGGATATGCATCCTCTCCAGTGATCAGCGCCCAGACACTGAGATGGAAGGATAATGAGGGTAGAGAGGGCAGTTTTCAACCTTATGTCCTACCTCTGCCTGTGAACCTTTGGGGTAGAGATTTGCTACAGCAATTGGACTTAAAATTGACCAATGACTATTCTGTTCAAAGTCAAAAGCTGATGAAGAGCATGGGCTGCGTCCCAGGTAAAGGTCTTGGAAAGAATTTGCAGGGTAGAGTTGAACCTATAGAACCCATGCCGCGGGCCTCTAGGCAAGGGCTGGGTTTTTCTTAGGGGCCGCTGGGGATCCTCTGCCCATACCCTGGAAAACAGAAGAGCCAGTGTGGGTACCTCAGTGGCGCTTACCCTCTAAAAATTTACTCGCTGCCCATAGCCTAGTGCAAGAACAACTTACTCTTGGGCATCTTGAGCCCTCTCAATCTCCTTGGAATACCCCTATTTTTGTGATTAAGAAAAGGTCTGGTAAATGGAGACTGTTGCATGACCTTAGAGCAATTAATGCCCAGATGCAGCTTATGGGGCCTGTTCAAAGAGGACTGCCCCTTCTCTCTGCTTTGCCTAAACATTGGAGTCTAATTATCTTGGACATCAAAGACTGTTTTTTCTCTATTCCCCTGCACCCACAAGATAAAAGCAGATTTGCATTCACGCTTCCTTCCATAAACCATGAGCAGCCTGATGCAAGATATCAATGGCAGGTTTTACCTCAGGGCATGGCTAACAGTCCCACTATGTGCCAACTTTATGTGGCCTCGGCTATCCAGCCGGTTAGGCAGAAGTTTTCAAAGGTAAAAATTATACACTATATGGATGATACTCTCTTGTGTCATTGTGATGATGGCGTACTTCGCCAGGCTTATGCGTCCCTTCAGGCTCACTTAAGGGAAAAGGGCTTGCTGGTCGCCCCTGAGAAGGTGCAAGAGGGAGAAGTGGGCGCGTTTCTTGGTAGTAGCATTCTCCCTGACAAAATCGTACCCCAAAGACTGTCCATCCGAAGAGATGCCTTAAAAACATTAAATGATTTCCAAAAGCTGCTAGGAGATATCAATTGGCTTCGGCCTTTCCTATGTCTTACCACAGCAGAACTGAAGCCATTATTTCAGATTCTAGAGGGAGGCTCACACATTACGTCCCCTAGAACTTTGACTCCTGAGGCCCTTAAGGCTCTTCATAAGGTAGAAGAAGCCATTCAGAAGGCGCAACTGGTGCGCATTCAGCACCACGATCCTTTCTCCCTCTGTGTACTCCCTTCTCCTACGCTCCCTACGGCAGTGCTTTGGCAGGATGGCCCCCTTTTATGGGTGCATCCTCTAGCCTCTCCAGGAAAGGTGATTGGCCACTATCCTACCTGTGTGGCCGAGATAGCTTTAAAGGGTGTTAGTTTGGCTGTATCCCATTTTGGGCGTCACCCTGATAGCCTGATTTGTCCATATACTGCCAATCAGGTGAACACCTTATGTGCCACTCTTGATGCGTGGGCCATATTGAGATGCCCTTCCTGCAGGGAGCATTGATAACCATTATCCCAGACATGCCTTACTGCAGTTTGCAATGAGGAACGAGCTTATTTTCCAAGAGTAACTTCGCTGCAACCTTTGGTTGATGCCTTGGATGTGTATACCGATGGTCTAAGACGGGTATTGGAGACTATGTCATTCAGGACAAGGTGTATACCAAACAGTTTAACTATTCTTCTCCTCAGCTAGTAGAGTGTGCCGTAGTCGGTCTGGTTCTCAGCACCATCACTGAACCTATCAACATCATCTCAGACTCCTTTTATGTGGTCAACGCAGTTAAACAGTTAGAGAACTCCTTTCACATTCTTGCCAAGAGTACTGTCTTTTCTGTGTTTACAGAAATTAGGAATACTATTCAGAACAGAAGGAACCCATTTTCCATTCAGCATATCAGAGCTCATTCCTTGTTACCTGGACCTATGGCTGTGGGAAATGCTATGGCTGATCACGCCACTCGCGCCCTCTGGGTGTCTGATGGCCACGCCGCCGCCATAGACTTTCATAAACTTTATCATGTGCCAGCTGAAACCTTACGACTTAAGTTCAACATCACGCGTGCAGATGCTCGTGAGATTGTACTGCAATGTCCAAATTGTGCTCCTTTTCGCACCGTTGTTCATACGGGCGTGAATCCTAGGGGTTTGCGTCCTCTACATCTGTGGCAAATGGATGTAACTCATGTCCCATCTTTTGGGAAGCTTCAATATGTTCACGTGTCTGTAGACACGTGCTCAGGCGTCCTTCATGCCACGCCTCTGGCTGGAGAAAAGGCAAGTTACCTTATCACTCACTGCCTAGAAGCTTGGGCAGCCTGGGGCAAGCCCTGGGCTATTAAGACAGATAATGGCCCGGCTTATACCTCAAAATCTTTTCAGCAGTTTTGCACTCGCTTGGGTGTGGAGCACCGTACCGGTCTTCCCTACAACCCTCAAGCACAAGGCATCGTGGAGCGTGCTCACGGCACGCTCAAAATGTACTTACAAAAACAAAAGGGGGGAGATGCCCTACAGCTAGGGCTATCACCTAGAGGACGCCTCTCCTTTGCTCTCTTTACTTTAAATTTTTTAAATTTAGATGTCAAGGGACGTTCGGCAGCAGACAGGCATGTCACGCCTGCTCCGCCAGAAAGAATTAGTGAAGTGGAAAGATGTGTTGTCTAATCTATGGAAAGGCCCGGATCCAGTGATAATGAGATCCAGGGGAGCTATTTGTATTTTTCCACAGGACCAGGACAATCCCATCTGGGTGCCCACGCGGCTGACCAGAACGGTGCAGCAGCCTCTGGAGCAGCATGAAGACGTGCTGGCTACTCCTCCTGACGACAGTATGGATGATCGCGAGGATGGCAGCGGAGCCACGCTGGGGGATCCTGTCAGTACTTCCCCTGCCGATGCCTGTGACACATAACTCACCAATTTTCCCCCGCCTCTCTTCTACTAATGTTTCCCTGGGCACTGCGTACCTGCCGTTGGACACGCAGAGTAGTAAACTGGAGGGAAATAGATCCTTCTCCTTGAAGGGGACTTTGTGTTTTGTGTGGGGTTAACGGAAGCTGCACAGACTTGGCTCCCCTGTCCATAGTGGCTGGGGGTATGGCAGGGAATGCTAGTTTCGCATGGAATCTTAGCGACTCTTTTGAGGTTCTGTGAGGGTGATTGCGGGAGGCGAAACGTGACCTTTGCCCCTATACCTGTCTGTGTTTGGCCCCCGTTTATCTGGGTGGTATCCACGGAAAAACCCTCTGGTACACATGTGAACTGTTCCTCTAATACGTGCAATTATACATTGTGTTGGAATGCCACGTCTCACCCCTCTGCCATTGTTACCCGCTTGCCTAGATACATTCCTGTTCCTGTTGAAGCTCCTAGCTCTATGACTCTGTTTCGGTCTTGCAGCCACGGCCGTCTTGCTGCTTGCTGCGGCTGGCGGCGGGCTGTGGGCCATCTGTAGGCTGCAGGCCCAGAGACGGAGGGACCATGTGGTATTGGCACAGGCATTTGCTGCGCTTGAACTGGGACAGCCTACACAGGTGTGATTGACCATGCTTAAGGGTTAGCCTATATTTGGGTTGCACCCGCTCCTACCCCCAGGTACTTTAGCAGACATGGCCTTTGCACTCTGAGGGATCTCTCCCATTGCACCAGATAAGGCATGTCTCCAATCCCACAGCCAGCCTTTGCACACCTCCGAGTTTTGCTCATTGCACGAGGTAAGGTGGTTGCTGGTGGAAGTGAGGCTCTGCATCCTTGATCGTACTGTCGAAGGACGGTGCTGAACGGTTGCTCAGTTCTCATTTAATTAATAAAATAGGGGGAGATGTGGGGCGCGGTGGCAACGCCATTCCTAGATTGGCGCCCGCTTCCTGGTCACACCCTACTGTGCGTCTGACAAACAGATGTTCAGCGCATTTGCAAAGCCTTGCCTCCTCTCCTGAACTGTGTCGACCAATCAGGTTATGCCCCGTGTACTTACTGTCTATATAAGCAGCTGCCGAGAACTCCTCGGCATCTTCCGCATGTAACTAGCTAAGCAATCCCCATTAAAGCGCTGTCAGAAGAACTCCGGTTGCCGTGTCTTCCTTGCTGGCGAGGCGGGCGCGACAATTCACATGCAAAAGAATAAAATTGAATCTTTATCTTATATCATACAAAAAAATCAACTCAAAATGGATTAAAGATTTAAGCATTAAGACCTAAAGTTGTAAAACTCCTAGAAGAAAATCTAGGGGCAAAGCTTGAAGACAGTGTGGTCTTGGCAATGATCACTTAGATATGACACAAAAAGCACAAGCAACAAAAGCAAAAATAGACCAGTGGGACTACACGAAACTAAACACCTTCTGCACAGCAAAAGAGACAATCATCAGAGTGAAAAGGCAGCTATGGAATAGGGGGAAATATTTGCAAATCGTGTACCTATAAACAACTAAAACCCAAAATATACAAGAAACTCCTGCAAATCAATAGCAAAAAAACAAATAACCAAATTTAAAAATTGGCAAGGGGATTAGATAGATATTTCTCCAAAGGAGACATTCAAGTAGTCAACAGGTACACGAGAAGATGTTCAACATCGCTAATCACTAGGGAAATGCAAATCTAAACCATAATGAGATATCACCTCACACCTTTTTTGATGATTATTTTTTAAAAGATAGCAAATGTTGGTGAGAATATGGAGAGATTAGAATCCTGTACATTGTTCGTGGGAAGATAAATTGGTACAGCTGCTATGTAAAATAGTATGGAGGCTTCCAAAAACTAAAAATGGCACCTACTATATGATCAAACAATCCCACTTCTGGGTATATATCTAAAGGAATTGAAATTGGGATCTCAAAGAGCTATCTACACTACCAGGTTCATTACAGCCTTGTTCACAATAGCCCAAATTTGAAATCAGCCTAAATGTCCATCGACATGTGAATGAATACAGAAAATGTGTCATAAGGGAGATCCTGCTATTGGTGACAACACGGACCAACCTGGATGACATTATGTTAAGTGGGATGAACCACCACAGAAGGACAAATACTGCATGATTCCAATTATATTATTTATCTGAGATGGTCAAACTCAGAAACAGAAAGTAAAATGATGGTTGATGGGGACAATGGGATGTGACAGGAGGCAGTTGCTGCTTAGCAGGTATAGAGTTTCAGTTATGAAAAATGAAAAGGGTTTAGAGACCTGCTGTACAGCACTGGGCCTACACGTAACAATAAAAACAAAAAGAATATAATAAAACCCACAGATACTCTACCTAATTTTGTAAGATCTCAAGATTTCATCATATATGATTCAAACGGATCTATGAATTGCATAAGAAATAAAGTTCTACATTAGAGTGGAAGACCCTCCAATACTCCTTCCCAATCACAGCCCGACCACCCACCCTCAGAGTAACTGTGAAGTTTGTACGTCCCATGTATATTTTTATATTTTCACTCTTTATCATGTAGCTATAAATAATATATACTATTTTACATTATGAATAAAATTATTTATAAATGTTATATTGTAAATATTCTGTAAATTATTTGTTTTAGTCAACATTATATTTTTGAGATTTATCTATATTCATTCATTTTCCTGAATAGAAAAACACACTGTACACATTATATGGACTTTACTACAATTAATTGATCCGTTCTCCTGCATATGTATATTTAAATTGTTTGTGTGTCTTCTACTATCATAATCTACCTTGCTGTGAACGTCCTAGTGTATGACTCTCCAGGCACCTGCGGGAGTTTCTATAGGTTGTCACCCAGCAGCCCAATTACCAGGTAGGAGGACACAGGTCTTCAGCTAGACACTGCTAAGCTGTCTTCCATCACAGTCTGCTAATTTACACCCCTATACTCAAAGTTGGAGAATTCCCAGAGCCCTACCTCCCCACCCACGTATAGTACTGCCAACTTTTACTTTTTCCAATCTGCTCATTATTTCAATTCTCGTCTCCCTGATTACCAGTGAGATTGGGCATATTTTCATGCTTGTTGGTCTTTGGGGACATGTCCTCTGAATTCCCTGTGTTCTTTTGCCCATGTTCTATGGGGTTGTTTGTTTTTTCTTACAAACTAAAAGAGTTCTTTGTATATTCTGGATGCCAATCCTTGATCAGCTATATATTTATTTACAAATATTATCTCCTAGACTGTCACTTATCTTTGGATTTTTTAATATTGCCTTTTATGATTGTTTTTATCTTTAATATTGCCAAATGAATCAAGTTTCTGTTCTGTGTTTTTGCCTTTTGTCTTTTGAGAAATCCTTCCCAATTCTAAGATCATAAACATCTTCTTCTATATATACTTTACATTTTTTTAAATTCTGCTTTTCACATTTAGGTCTTTAATCCACCTTACGTTTGGCTATCGTGTAAGATGAAGATTTAATTTTCTTTTTGCAATACCTCCCTTGGCAGTACTGACTGAACTGTTCATCACGTTCTCACTGATTCACGAGGCTGCCTCTGTCATGTGTCAACTTCCCACGCATGTACACATCTGTTCCTAAGTCCTCTGTTCTGTTCCTTTGAGTTGTTTATTAGTACAGCTTTATAAAAAGGTCAAGTACCCAGTGGGCAATCTTTCCACCTTGATCGGTCCTGATTATTCTTTGCCATTTTTTTCTCCCATGTGAGTTTTTGATCAGTTTGTTAAATTTCTAAAAATTATTTGTTGGATATTATTTGGAATTTCAATGAATTCTTGGGAATAATTTGGGAAAATAGACATCTTCATGCTGTTGAATCTTTCCATACATAAACATTTTCATTGCCTCATCTATTTAAGTCTCCTTTTATTTTCTCCAATAACATTTTGAAATTTTCTTCATAAAGACCTTTCACAGCTTTTGTTAGATTTATTCATATTACTATAGATTTTTGTTGCCACTATAAAGGGTATAGTTCTTAAAATACATTTTATACTGTCTGTTGCAATGGATAACAGGTTCACTTCCATATATGTGCCGTGTGTCCAGCAATATGGCGAAACGTACTCATTGATTTTAATCATTTGTCTGTAGATTCCCTTGGATTTTCTAAGTAAACAATCTTACCATGTACAGATAATTTCAGTTTTGCTTCCCCTTTGGAAATTCTTGCACCTCTTAGTTTCTTTTAACCGCTTTAGTACCGGCATCGACTATAGTCGACAGCCACAGATGGACGCGCACAGCGACTGTGGCCGACAGCCGTGATAGGAAGGCGCACAGCCGAATGTTGACTTTAGCCGACAGCCGTGATATGAATTTTCTAATTTTTCATTTATCAAAATAGAATTGTGAACATTTAAAACTAACGTAATGAAAACATATATGTATGTGTCACCTATTCTGATTTAATGACGAGTAAAGCTGCCTGTAAAGTAAAACAAGCTGTCAGTGCTTTCAAGCTGTCCTGGTCACACAGGAGGGAGCCTGCGCGTGGTCAATGCGCAGGCAGACCCCCGCGGACCGCGGGCCGTGTGGGCGCGGGGTCCGACCGTGCGCGCCGCACCGCAGTGGTTAATATCTTCTGATGGAAGCTCAAGTAAAATATCGGATACAAAGAATGATAGCAGATATTCTCAGATTTTCTTTACTTTAAAGAGACTTATTTTAATGTCTTGACCATTCATGCTGCTGGCTGTAGGTTTTGTGGTTTCTGTCAGGTTAAAGGGCCTTGTCTGCATTACCAATTTCCCAAGAGTTTGTGTTTTAAATGAATGTAGCATATTAAACTGTCAATTTGGTGAATTGCATTAATCAATTTTCAAATGTAAAGCTAGTCATACATTCTTTCAATAGCTTAGATTTATCATGATCTATTTATTTTTACAAATTGGTGGACTGTGTAAAGTCTCTCAAGATTTCCATGTCTGTTTGTAAGAAAGGTGGCCTTTCCCTTCCCTTTATGTTCTTTTCTGCTTTGTGTGAAAACAAAGTAGCCCCAGAAAATGAGTCAGAGTGCAGGCCCTGCTATTCTCTGGAACGTTCTGTGTGATACTGGGATAACAGTTCCTTACATGTTTGGTGGAATTTTCCTATAAAGCCATCTGGTCCTGGCATCTTGTGTATGGTACTATGCAGGGTCGATTTTTAAACTATCAATTACATTTCTTTAATAGTTAAAAATCTATTCAGATTCCTTTTGCTTTTGAGTTTTGCTCATTACGTCTTTAGAGGTAATTATTTATCTCCCTATGTTTTTGTGATTTTTGTTGTTGCTGTTGTTGCTTTTAGTCCTCCCTTAGTTTTAGTCTCTATCTATAGTTGTGTGCCTTGGTCATTCCTGGGGGGCTTATTGTGCCTCAGTCTTGTCTTTATCTTTCAATCTATTTTGACTGTTTGTCTATTTTATTTGTGACTTCA